CCCCATCATAGAAGGCCACCAAATGTGTCAGCCATGATTTGCCCCTAGTAAAGCCATGTTGGCTGCTACCAACCATTTAAGGGAGTTTGACATTTTATTTTACAGACTCTTCTTTTGAAGACAAGTGTCAAGCTCCTAGGGTCTCAGCTTACTCATATCTAACTTTTAAGCCTTGAGTCAGGGAACCTAGACTTCCTCAACATGAATGACATCCAGTCCATAAAAGCTAAGAAGATGAGGTGATAGTGACTGATTTACTAATAAACAAGACTGGGCGGATGGCTGTAGCTTAACCTGATGTTTCTGGCATACATTGTATTTTTAACTCTAGGATAGACTGAGAGTTCCCCATACTAAAAAACCAACAAATCACTGAAAATTCAACTACAGTTAAACAGTATTTTGCTCATATAATGAGCCAGTAGCAAGAAAAATCAGGTTTTAAAGTGCTCCCTTTTTGCATGGGGAAAATTTGCTTCACTTCTTTTGAAAGCAGCGGCACAGAATATAGGAGTACCTATTTCAGCTTAAAAGGGCTAAGTGAACAGTTGAGCTCAACCTGGTGCTGTCTGCACTGAAGTGAATTGGGGAACTTTCCTGCTAGCTCAACTGTGAAAAGAAGAGCAGCTATTGACATGCAATGGCTGAGAGCATCTACCCTGCCTAGAAAGAGGGAAGACTCCCCACTCATGTGCTACTGGACCTTGTTCTTTGAGGACCAATTATATGAGATTACACTGAAGGGTAACTTAATTTATCCAGTCATGCCTAAACGTGTAGTAAGATTGTACTTGAAAACAAATTTTGTATCTGCCTTTTTTGACACACAACAAAAGCAAAGCTCCTTTCGTGCTCTCACAGACAGCTTCCTAAAACTCTAGACTGAAAAGTGTTCAGCACAGGATATGCTCATTTTCACTTGAAAGGAATGCTAAAGAGCCCTTTTAAGTCAAATAACTTTATTTCAGATTACAGAAATACTAGGAGTCAAATTGCATTTACTAAAAAGTCACTTAAGATGAATTTTTACAATTCAACCTGAAATACATACAACATTGTTAGCAAGTTCTACAAAACCTCATAAAAATATGTGGCACTTGACATACTAGTAATTACATTTAGCTAAAATGTAAATAGCATTATTCAGCTAAGGATTTTTTATGTCCTTTGTAATCTCTTGTGCTGACAGAAGTGCCACTTAATTGTCACTACACTTGTCATAGCAAATGATAGCCCCAAATCTTGAAAATCTTGCAGACTGGCAATATAGTAAGGTGAAGTAAAGCCATGACAGTTTATTTGCAAGGAAAAGCTATGCTTGTCATAAAAAATCATAGTCCCAAGTCTCAAAGATCTTGCAGACTGACACTATCTTAAGTAAGGCAAAGTGAAGCTGTGACAGCTGGCTTGCAAGGAATGGCTAACTTACAGCAGTCTAACAGTCTTTCCAGTCACAGTCAAGAAGTCATCATCAGCCAAGGCACGAAGCGCTTCTTCAAACATTTCCTTAGTGACAGCCTTAAAGAAAAGAAATAAGTCAAGTAAAGATGGGAGGGGAATACTTAAAAAAACTGTAAAAATGCATTATTTCTTACCAATTTTATTACCCTTTTTTTTTTAAGCTGTAGTATGTTCTTTTTGCAATTTGAAATCTGGCCTGGGACCCTGAAGCTGAGTTTGCTACTTCAGAAGGCAGAATAATCATAAGAGACAGCAAAGAGTCAGCTCATTTATCTGTAGAATTGGCTTTCTGGTCACGTCAGCTGAAAAAGTTAGGGTCTCCCTTTCCCTCCATAATGGGATTTGAGAATCAGATAATGTTGATTTGGAAAAACACCATGCTTTTAAAATTAATTAAAGTTTTAAAACAATGCCGGAAACTTACTGTATCAGACTGTGCTCGGAGATCGTCGAAAAGCTGTTGGTACTTCAAAGCCGGTGTTTTACCCTTTGACTGGATAAGCTTCCTTAAGGCTTGAGCCAACTCTTCTTTCCGTTTACGAGCTGTTGCGCTCATTCCTTATGAAAAGAAAGTTTATTTCTAAAGGGTATTTTCTAAGGAGGACAGGTTAAGTTACATTTCAAAATTACAAAAGCCTGATAGTATCCCAGCCTTATCACTATGAAAACACAAACCTGTAGTAAGAATGGATATGTCCACAATTCCGGTCCTTGGATCAGTAGCAGACTGTTTCAGGGCTTCCCGATGGAGGCGTTTTGCTTCTTCTACATCGATTGTTTCAACTTTCTCAGAAAAGCGTACTTTAGCATGCGCTTCTGCCAGTCGGATCAGAGACTCAAGTTGTCGAGGATATGCAGAAACCATTCCCCTGCCACTACCGATCTTCCTCATGTCCACATATGCCTGAGAAGAGAGTCATTAAATATTTCAGTAAATCCTGTTACCTCTGTTATTTTCAGCATCCCCTTCATACCCCACCTCTTATTTCAGAATACAAGCAATTCTGGCAAGCTGTTCTAAACACTATTCCTGCTCATATACCTTCACGATTCTTCTGCAATGAAGGATAACCACACTACATATATGTATTTCCCTTATAAAGCAATTAAGCCATGATAATGAGTCAAGTTTTGAATCACTTAAAAAAAAAATAAGGACTAGTCTTACATAATAGTGCTTGTGTCTGTACTGACACATTTCATTTCAGTAGAATTTTATGCTTTTATGTGATAGAGCCAAAACCAATACATTTGAAAACTAACGATAAGAATGCAGAATGACTTTTATACTGATCCCCCTTTATAAATGCTTTATAAAGTACTTATAAACCTTTATAAAATGGTGATTTTTAGAGACGTTTGAAGTCTTACAGAAAAACTATACGTACATAGGAAGCATACATACAAGGGGATTTTGCCATTTTGGACAAGTCAGTAAGGACTCAGAACACTATTAACAGCAACTCCTTTACCTCAATAAGGGCTTGGCTTGCTTCTTCACTTAACCTAGGATTTATATAGCTACGAGCATATGCAATGTAATCCCTCAATACTGCCATGTCCATGTACTCCTCCTCCATCTTTTCTTCACTTTGGTAGTACAGTGAAACCAAATGGCGAGCAAGACGTCTGTCATAAGCTTCATCGCGTGGATCCAACATTAAAAAGATCAAGTCAAATCTGAACAGGGTAAGAATCCAGTATTAGTGTGTATACTTTCCTGCTATTTAAAGTAGTTTGGTTTAGGGTTTTTGACTTAACAAGTAGAGGTAGGAGTTATTTGACTGTTACATTCTACTCTAAGTAGGATTTGCTTTAACCTGAAAAGATAAATTTTCTAGAAGTCTGAAAGTACAGAACAGCACAGTGGATTTGCTTTCATCCTGTGGACTTGTAAGTCTGATACATTCTGCAAAATTCAGATCCCATGTTCAAGGCTGACAGTTTTTGTTTTCTTAAAAAAAAATCCCAAACAAAAAACCCAAACATAAACTACACAAAACTTCCACACATATATCAAATACACAGAACAAACTTGCTGCTAAAGAAACTGCCCTAGAAGGCAATAGGGCATAAAGCTATATAGTTATTTTATGCATATAACAACCTTAAGTAAATAAATGTATGTATAAATAAAGAAGCACTTGTGGTTTAATCCTGAAAAAAAAAAAA